CTACTTATTAAGGTTGTATATATTTATAAATTCTAACCTCATTTATTCAAATCATAATTCAAATTCCCATACATTTTTATATTAACAATCACAAGATTTTCTTTATTATGATAAACAATTTGTCAAATAAATCATTTGACAAAAAAAAAAAAAAACATTGCAAAATTCATAATTTCGCATGTTACACAACGGTAATTCTCATTGATAATATTTATATATGCAAACCCATATATGTAAATATGCAATTGTAAAATGAAAATAATAAATATTATACTAAAATTATTTACAGTACATATTCAAATTTCACACAGTAATTTCTCGCTACTTATAACCATTAATTCACCTTTCTTTTATTATTTCATTTCTTTGTTTCTTTTTCATTTTCGTATATACAACAATAAGCATCTTTAATTCTGTGTTGCCGTATAATCTCCGGTCCCCCCTTCAAAATACCGACAACAACGACCTTTTTTTTTTCTATTTCATATTTAATCGTTTTAAATTATGAGAGATTTTTTGTAAAATGTCATCTATTAGCAGATGAATGAATGATTAAATGAATGAAAGAAAAATTAAAATGAAAAATAAAAAATAAAATAAAAAATGGATGAATGAATGAATTATATGATCACTGACTACACAATTGCTTATTTTATTTTAAAATAATTTTCAATCCATTATATTCACTTGCATTGTGAATTTACAAAAACCGACACAAGTTGAACACTAGAAGAAAAAAAAAAACACGTTCAAAAGAAAACAATTTTCTATTAAAATAACTATAGAAAAATTACAAAAAGTTTGAAATACACAAAAAAAAACAATACCCATACCATAAGTGAGAAAATAAATAGAAAAATAATATAATAAAGATGCCATAATAGCTTTGTTAGTTGAGACCAAAAATTAATATTAATGGTATTGTCGTTTCGCTTGTTGATAATGCAGTTTAAATTTCTGTCATAGTGTTTTCTCATAAGCAATATGTAAGGTAGACAGGATTAGGCGAAAAATCTACTACAAATGTCAACTTTGCACGCAGATCGATTTTCTGTTAGATTTTCTGTTGGGAATGTGATATTCTGTAGGAGTATCAATATATTCATGAATCGCTAGGAAGCCATAGCGTTTTGCTAGGATTTTCTATCTTTTGAAGCTTTTATTAACATTGAAATTAGAACATCTAATTCTAGAAAGTGTTTTAAGTAATTTTTAATAGCAGGATATAAGATAGCAGGGCAGTTCTAAATTAACATGGTTTGTTTTCCAGAATACAACGGAATACAGCGAAAGATACAAGGTGTTTCTACATAAGCAATATAAAAATAAACTCGACCAGAGAGCTGCGATTTAAGCAAGGTATCAGAAGACATCCGAGCTGTGATAGAAAGCCGAAACCGGAGTAATTATCGAACTGAAAATTAAAAAAAAAAATCCGTACCGAAAAATAATTGAACCAATTTCCTCATATTATACATTGATATTTAGCCTCCTTTTTCTTTACTACTATAGTGTATACACAAACAAGATTAGGGAAAAATATCAATAATTAAAAACACATATTTACTACAAAACTTATAATAAAGCGTCAACACTGAAAAAGTATATATTTGACTTTTCAGAAATGCCGCATAGTTATAAAACCTACTCTATTTGTAATTACCATAATTTTTATTTATTTGTATGAGTGTAAATTATTTTGTTTTTATTTAATAATACTATGGTTGTTTGTTAATACTTTTGTTTATTACGACTTACTATGCTCCTTTCTCTAACATGAAGATCGGAGATCGTGTAAAGTGTATACGTGTGTGGATGTAAGAAAACATGTCACTGTTTGATATTAATGAGATAAATGCAAATTCTTCACGATATTTTGCTAATTTTTTTTCTGTTATTTTGGAATTTTGTGTTTTCTTTTATTGTTTAAATTGTTGAGCGGTGTAAGCGTCGGTATGATTAAATGCATGTAGCCCGTGTTATTATATTGTGTTTTTATTTTCTTTTTCTTTTGTTTCACATAGGCATGCAGAGTGAGCCATTCAATGATTGTAATCAATCATTAGAGAGAGACAAAAAATTAAAAAACTTATGATAATATTTATTATTTTGTTTTTGCAATATTTGTTTTTTTTTAAGATAATCATAATGATAATAAATATTGCAAAAAAGAAAAATAATAAAGACTATTTACTTGTCTTGTTTTTCTGAATTTTTTTTTTTGTTAATTTGGAGATATAATAGTAACACATGATTATGCCAATCTAATATTTGCCGTCCAAATAAATATTTGAAAAATTTATAAGAAAACCTGGAGAAATTTAAAAATTTAAAGCAGGCTATCTTAGGATATCAAATGTAATATTAGATGTGCTTACAATTTTATTAATTTATTTCCTTTGAAATGAGATTTTCTTAAAAAGTTCTGAATTTCTTTTCGGGTTTATGATATTTATTGTAAAAATTATATACTTGCATGCTTTGACAGTCTGTAGTAACCTTTACTATCTACATTATATAATATGCAACAGGCTTGTTGAGACTATAATAGTATGCCTGAAATAAATTTTCTCTCGAAATTTATTAAAATTTTTCCGGAAGCTCTATTGGCATTATTTACCCTCCCGACTTCTTTTCGGAAGGTTTTAGTTTTATATTTCTCTCTTCACGTGATCTCATTTTCTTATGTATATAAGAATGTAAAAGAATTCCGGGTTTTGATTCTCCACCACAAATGCAAGTATACTGGTTCTTTTTAAGTTGGCTGATTGATCCTCCAAAGGTATACGAATTTCTTGAACAGCATATTTCTTAAAAAATGCTTTATTCTGAATGTTTCACACTTAAATGGGGGATCACAATAAATTTTATTTATTAAGAGACAGTTTTAACCCCGAATTTCCAATAACATCCGATTTTTAATCGAATAATATCGATATATCAAAATATTATCTAATATTTTATTCAGTAATTTAATTAAACAAGTTCATTTTGTTTGATTTGTAAACGCCAACATGACAATCCACAAAAAAATCAACTATCAAATATGGTATTTTTCCTAAATTTTCTTGATATCAACCATTCTAGGGAAAAATCTCGAGAACATGTTAAGACCACAGAATGTTTATTGAACAAATAGGAAATGTCCTTAAAATTAACAACGAAAATTTCACTATTTCCAGATCAAAACAAAAAACCATTCATATAACACATAAATTACGGTATAGCAATGGATAGACAATTTTTAAATGTCCTATATGATTTATAAAACTTTTTACAAAATATTTTAAGGAAAACTATAGAATAATAAAATTCACAAAAACTTTTGCACAGGTTTTGTTTTTTGTTTTTGGTTTGATTTGAGCAACAAGTTTTTGCAATTTTATTTTTATATGTTTTGGAGTAAACATCCGAATTGGGTTTGGCACCGATTAGAGAGACATGTTGTTTTATGATGATAATGATGACTATGATATAGTAATTTGCTAGCTTATTAATACTTGTATGTATAAAGTTTGGTTTTGTTTTTTTGTTGATTGGTCTGGTATACATGGAGTTTTTTTTTGTTTTTATTATTTATTTATATTGTGATTGAAAAGTAGTCTTTACTCAGTTGGTGATAATGATTATTACAATGATAATAGTATGGCGGTGGCAATGCGGTTGGTTGGTGATGATGATAATGATAATGGGAAATAGGAAATAATTTTATAATAATAATAGTTTTTTGTTTTTGTTTTTATTATTTTTTATATATTTTATTTATTGCTATGATTTATTGTCTATTTATAAAATAATTTTTTTTTATTTTTATTTTAATGATGTGATTATTGTTAAAGATGCTTTATATTTTTATTATTATTAAAAAGATGTTGTAGAGAGATTTTTATAAGTGCATTTATAGAGTGAACATTGTATAATGTAGATGTAAAACGTTTACACACGCCTTGAACATGTGAAAGTTTAGAGTTTTGAGAAATTTATAATTGTTTTATAATTAGTGTTAGTTTTTTCCTTAAAATATGCAAGGTTATAACGCAAATTTTTTTTTTCAATTGTACTTTTAAGTACAATTGTTTGCTTTTGTTTTCTCGGGTATTTTTTAATTTTAAATTTATTTTAAATGAATTGTATTTTATATGTTAAATTACGTAAGTTGATTAAAAAATATAGCAGTAATATTTTTAGTAATGAACTACATAAGAAGTACAGAGTAGAAGGACATTATATTTTAGAAAATGAAGACGTTTGTAGAATGGGAAATTAATTTTTTGCTTTATATAACATTATAGACGCATGTTATTTTTTATAGGCAACTATTTTTTTATTTTTCTTTGAGTCCGATAATGCTTGTGTAATTATTTTTCTAAACTACTTCGCTATTAGGAGGCTAGTGCATGATATCGCATATGGCTAGTGCATGATATCGTAGACGACTATAAACCAGTTTCTTGTGTCGTTGAGTTTTTTTTAGATAGGTGACGAGCCAATCGTATGTGTATTTATATACGGTCTTAAAATTTAATTGAAAAATTAATTTTTTATTCTGAAATTATAGCAATTACTTAATATTTAAACTAAATTGTATTTCCTGTCCTTTCCCTTTCCATTCGTAAATGATGACAATTTTTGACGAAGTGATTTTTATTTTGTTATACCAAATACTGGAATTTACAACAGAATTCTGTATTACTGCAGAAAAGAACGCGAGGGGGGATCTTTTAGTTTATTATTATCATTTAATTACCGAAAACCGACTTGTTGTGTTTAGTTCTTGTTGACTATTTTGGTAAAATAAGTTTTTCCTTGTGGAAAATACTTAAGTGTAATATTATTTTCTGTATACAAAAATTTTAAATCAAAGCAATTTTTAAATTTAATTTTAAAATCTTTTAAATATTAATCAAATTTTTCTCTATATCAAATAATTTTTATAAAAAAAAAAATTTATACACAAAAATTAAATTTTAAAATAAAATTTTTTTTCTATTTCATTTCAGATATTTTTTTTTTGTTAAATAGAAATGCGATGTGATTGCGAAACGAAAAAATTAACTGATCATCAATCAATGTTTTCTGTTCCTATAATAATAAAATAATAGAAACAATTAATATAAAGAAAAACAAATTATATAACCGAAACTATTTAAAACAAAAACTTGATATTATCCACTAATAAATTTAACTAATAAAATTAAGAAGACAACAATTAAGAAAAAAAAATTCAATCAATTAATTATTTATAACAATCATAATAATTATTTACTAATTTAAAAATCATCAAACAAATCAAACAAAAAAATTAAAAGTGATAAATTATTTCAAGCAAAATTTAAAAAAAAAATTTAACATTATTTAAGAATAAAGAAAATATATTAACAAAAATTCTGCAATATCAAATACAATGGGAAATATAAAACAAATGACTGATTCAAATGAAATCAGTAGAATGAATGAAAAAAACTATAATACAGAAATTGTTATGATGTCAACAGCAACAGTAGCTGCCACAACAACAGCAACAACTGAACCATCAATAATAATAGAAACAACAGCAGAAGAAATGAAAAAATCACAATGTCAAAAAATAAAAAATCAATGTGAAATTTTAAATTCAATAACATTATTTTCACCCCAACAAATATTAGAAGGACAATTATTATCATCGTCACCATCAACATTTTCAACAACATTAAAATCATCATCCTCCACCTCATCATCTTCAATAGTATCAAAAATACCATCATTAGAATCATCATCATTATCACCATTACCATCATCATCATCATTATCATTACATTCATCATCATCATCATCATTAATATCATCTTCATTGCCTTCATCAACAAAAAAAATAACATTAACAACAGCATTATCACCGTCATCAACGATATCAACATCAATATTGTCTGTATTATCATCATATCCTGCATTGAATTTTCAACCGACAATGAATTTTTATAAGAGAATAGCAATTTCCATTTTAGTCATTTTAGAAGTATTGTTAGTGCCAGTTTATGCAGGTAAGTGAGAAGAAAATTTTTTTTTTTATTTATATACACTTATATTTTATTAAGATTTTATTATAACGATATGACTCCTTTTATAATATAAATATTAAGTATGAGTTTAAAATTTTATGCGGATATTTTATGATATTTAATTGTTATAATGCAAAAATATTTTCGATTATGAATGTTTAAAGGAGTTTTCTTAATTTTGGAACATTTTTTAGGAGTGCATCGCGACCAGTATGTAAGAATCTATTGTGCGCCCCTACTACACTCTTTCGAGACCCACCCACCTCCAGCACCACAATCTCCCAGAAAGTGTGCTAAGGTCTCGTCATCCTCACAAAATCGCAAGCGCCCTCACTTTCTAGACCAAGCTTCCTAAGGTAACGGCTAAGCCTCCCTAAAATTTTTGCGCAACCCCATAATTTTCTTAAATCGTTTTTGGTCATAATCTCCCAGAAGCTCCTTAGCCTGTCGCAGCCCCGGAAGACTTTACAGCGCTCTGACCGCCTCTCCTCTGAATCCTATCTTAGTTCCCTAATAACTGTTGTCCGATTCCGCAGAAGAGCTCCAAGCCATGAGATATGTTGGTCGCGTTCCTCGCCAACGCATAGGACGCCACGTTTCATTCCACGACCATATGTCCAGGTACAGTACGACTTGGTTGCATCTTCCTAAATTTTCGAGCTTCTCAAGTCATCCCAAAACTGCGGCGGAGGATACTCAAAATGAATCCAGCGCTTTCATGGCAGTCTGACTACCCGGCATGATCGTTCATGCCCCATATGCAGGAAATCAATAATATGTTAAAACAAAATTACTTATATCCAACTTTTTGTAATTTATTTAATAATTTCTAAATTTTTACGTTCTTAATCATTTAAATTTATTTCATCAAACCTGTGTTTTAGGAATTATCAACACTATTTGCTATTTGTGTTAGTGAGTAAAATCAATTTTTTCATATATTATTGTTAAATTCTATCGAAAATTAATGTGTAACACTATTTTTTCGGGACGTTTTTGATTTTTCATTCAATATCTTTGAAATTACATGAACAAAACACTTAAAAAACTCATTTAAATCTAGAAAAATTAAAAGACAAAAAATTGCATAAAACTAGGCGTTATGGTAATAAACGTAAAAATTGAAATATTTATACATTTTCCCATAATTTATGTAGCTTTATGAAAATAATGTAAGATTTAAATTATATCACACAAATTGTAGGTATATGTAATGATGTTAACCGTAAATTTCCTTATTCACTTAAATATTTCCACTTAAAATTGAAATTATAGTTGCATATAGTACAAAATTATATTTCGGTATATAAAATATACATATAAACCCATATTTACCTTATGGAGTGTACAAAACCCATTAACAAGTGTATGAACACTCATTAAACAAATATTTAACCTACCACGTTGAGGTCGGATAATGACCTCAATATTGTTTTTTTCTTTTTTTGTGTAGTCCCATTTAACTGTTAATTTCCTTAACCACCTCAATGAATATTTTGTTCTGTTTTTGTTTATTTTTTTTTTTGTAATATTATTCTCCTGTTACTCATTTTTATACCACTTTTATACTTCTTTTTTTTTCTCCTTCATTGAAAAAAAAATTTATTTATTTTTTAATAATAAAGAGTGTGGGATAAACAAGAAAAAAAATATATAATTAAATTAACAGGTGATTTCACACAATTAAAATAGTATGTTTACAAATATCGACAAAAATATATAGGTATACAAAATAATTACGTGTAACTGCATTGCATCCTCTCTGTATATATAAAATTATATAATTCAATTATAAAAGGTATATTTATATGAAAACATATGTGTGTATGCAATAAATTAATTTACATCCATATATAACATACATAAGTTATAGCAGTAAAATAGATTCTGTACCACCACACCTCATTTAAAATTCATTAAATTAAGATGCATCAATTAAAAAAAAAACAAGAATAATATTACATGAACACATATATAAAGATTATAAAAGATTTAAAATAGCAACCAAAATTAAAATTCAACAAGCAGTCTCATATACACTTATATAATGAGTATAACATACATGTAGTTGCATTTGCACATAAAGTATACATTTAACCAGTATTATAAACTTGCTTATATTTTCCTTCTATATCTTTATAACAAAATTTAATTATTTTTATAGCATGCGATAAATTAACTCTATAATTAGGAAGCAAAAGATTGAAAAAATCAACTAAAAATAAAGAATTAAATTATTATATTACATAAAATTCCAGTATATACTGTATTGCGTTATATTGTGTATAACACCTCTACATATTTCAAATTTAAAAACATCTTTATATAATTTCATATAAACAAAATATAACTATCACTACACTACTTATAAAATGTATACAGAAAACAACAGCAACACAATTACAGCAGCAAAGTAACATATGGATAGAATAAAATTCCAAAACAACATTAAATATAAAAACAATAATAAAAAAGACAATAGTGACAGTAACAATTATGATGATAACGATATTATCACTTTATCGAAAATATTTATGCACATTATATTTTAAGAATAAACTTCATTTTTTGTTGAAAACAAAATATCTGGTTATATACAGCTATATAGTATAACAGAATCATATTATATTTTGCAGTAACATAAGAAGTGAGGTATTTATCTTTTGCTATTATAATGTTATGACTATAAACGTAATGAGTAAAACAAGAAATTACCATCATTGAATATATTGAACGTAGTGCGCTCATTATATTGCATTTTATAAAATAATATAGTAAGAGAGAGAGAGAGAGAAAGAGAAAGAGAAGAAGTTTCTTATTCTTATTTTATATTTTGACACATTTCAACTAGTTATCCTTCAATATTTTTATTTTATATATAGCTATATATATATTGCATTCAATACATATATTTATATGTTTTAATAATAAAATTTATATGTACATATATTATGTATACAATATGTATTTGCATTCCATTCAATATTAATTCATTGTTTTAATATATGCAATTTTGTTATACATATTTAAATATATATATATTTTAATAATATAATAATAATTATTATGTTAATGTGTGTACATATTTTATATGCCACCTTTATACAAGTTATACTCATACATTATAATTATGGTATTTCCACCTGTTTATTAAGATACTTAAATATAGTAGCCACATTTTACATTGTTAAATTTACTTGAAAATTAAAGAATCAGAAAACAAAAGTGGTAACAAGAGTTACCAAAATATAAGAAAAAAAAGGGTGGTATATAAATAGTTTGTTTACTGTGATGAAAATTAATTGAATCAATTATTGAGGGCAATACCGATAATAATATTTTACTAAGATGAAAAAAAATGATTATAAATTTATTTATTAATTTATTTCGAAGATGAAGTGAAGTCTTGGATACTAAGAGTTTAATTAAATTAATAAGTGAATTCTTAAAACTTACAATAGTAAAGTGTTAGGTATGTCACTAGTATAAAAGCTTATCACTGATTACCAATTTTAATATTCAATATATACGCATGTAAAATGAGGTGTCCGCTCATAAAGTCTCTGTTGACAGATTAAAATTCAAAATTTGAAACTTAGCTTGCGGGCTTGATGATTTCAGATATACAATACATTTTTTAGGGGATTAGAATTGTTTATTTAAAAATTGCATATTTCTAGGTGCTATTATTTTTTTATTTATGAAAATATTTAAATTATCTTTGTTCCAGTAGTTAGTAGCATTTGCATTTTAATTATTTAATACCTAAATGAATGTTTAATAAGAAAACCAGGTTTTTGGCTCGAAAATGCACAAAAATTATTACATTAGACAAAAAATAAGTATTAAGATTCTGTTCCTCATAACTCTCAATTATTAACCGAATAAACAAGTAAATTGGTATTGAATTTATGTAAAAATTGACGCATTGTTACCTTACAAAATTTCTTAGAAAATGTAATTTTTTAGAATATTTTAAAGAAATTTAAGAAATTTTAGAGAAATTAATCATCAAAATCCTTGCTAAAATAATTTTAACAATTTTTCAATAATATTTTTATTACCATAATTTTAGATTATTAGATTACTCATAAAAAACATCTCTATTAATACAAGGCATTAAAAAAAAACAATTATTGCAACAATTATCATGTACTCACATTCAATAAATCTATAAGAATTAGTTAACAGTATAGGTATGTGTGTATATATAATAAATTGAAAAGAATAATAATGTTATTAGATTTTAATAGGTATATGACTAATTTTGTGTCTTTTTTCTCATTTTTTATTTAATTGTTTTATTCTCTTATTTTTTCTGAATACAATTATAAAACGTGACATACTTTACTTATCGTGTTCTCGTGTCACTCGTGCTATATTATAATGTTAAACATCACTATTAATTTATTTTGTAAGTAAATTAATTTAACAAAATTCTATAAAACATTACAACAAGAAAATTATTATTTTTGTTTTTGAAAAAAACAAAAATAATTTAAGAAAATTTATGGTTGTACATGCAGCCATAGGCATATTAAAGATGCTAAAAGAGAAATTTTACAAAAATATATTAAAGGTTTAAAATAGATACAAAAAATATGAGAAAAAATTCTGAGAAAATTCAATATTTTTCAATTGATTAAAAATGCATAAGGAAAAATTGCATATCTTACGGCTATTATGGAATTAAAATATCTGAATTTCGTAAAAGCTGAATTATGTCATAACAATATGTACAATGATTTGTTAATTTAATTTATCAAATTACTTTACATTGTTTTTTTTACATTGTATTCTGGAATCGAAACTAAGAATATTGTTAGCAGCCGACTATGTAAAGAAAAATAGGTAGTTTTTGATTCTATTTAATTCGTTTATTTCTTTGTCGAATTGGTCAGAGGCTATTTGTAAAATTTCTTCAACTAAATAAATTCTATAACAAAATTTAAGGTTTCCAAAGTTATACAGTTGGCATAAGC